CGAGAAAAATTCATTGCTTATAATATAATTTACAATTCTATTATACATTATTAAATAACGTATGTAATTTTATGCGTCCAATTCATTTGTTTAATTACTTTAACTGAATTGCTAACTGTTAACATGTTAAAGTTAAAAAAATCCATAATGTGGCTTTTAAACTTTCCAAAGCGCGCATATATCGCTTTATATCGGTACTTGCTTTACATTAATGCATGCATCTTGCAATTTATCATCATTAATTTTTTATTATACACATCAGTCTTCGGAGAAATTCGATTATCGTAAAGCGACTTATGGGCATTTAATACTCGCGTTGCGCCCAGTGAATTCGTAATCCATCTAATATGTCGTATCGTATGCAACGATATGTAAATGAGCAATCGTCGGCGTTGAAGCAAACGTGTGGGATTTCTGCATGAGATAATGTACCGCTAAATGTGCATCAACGTTGATTACAGTTTGCACAATGAGCAAACTGTTTTGCATAATTAATTTCGTTTCGCAATGACAATAAACGATTTTTTAATACTTATAACCTGCTTATTCCGCGCCATTTAATCGTAAGATATGAAACATTTTACGGCGCTTCATTGCGCCAATGAATTGCGTTTACTGACTAACGGGGAATCGCTCGAACAAGAACGGTCAAATCATGTGGAATTATATTATACATATTCGATCATTTATTTGCGTCATTTACGAACGTCCGTGTGTTACATCCAATTCTTGGTTCGACGTGCTGTAATAATCGATTAAACGCTAATCAGTCCAACATACCAACGGATCGACAGATAAATAAACACGTAAATAGCTTTTCTCTGCTAACGTGACCACATCAGAGAGTTTGAGAAATTCCGAATAGTAAAATCGAACAAATTTTATCGATGTCAATTCTATTTGTAAATATCATTTACATCAATTTGTAAAATTACGGCTCATCAGTTCGATTTCTAGTCTTTTATCTATCAATCTAATATCTCTTCGGTGAAACGACGATTTATCTTTGAAATTGTTCAAACGGTATACACAAATCGGAAAAGCGAATCAAAAATATATATGTACAAAGTTACTGCACTTGTCAAAAATCCATTTATTTGCATACTTAAAATCAACATCGGAAAAACGTCCGTATTTCGAGCCAAGGAAAACGTTATGTGACTTAATTTATAATTTTATGGCAGATCGCAAGATCCGCAGATTACTTTTAAATATTAAAAGAGACTGTAAAGAAACCTGTTCTTTGAAAATTTCTCGTTTTACTCACTATCTCCGATTTAGACAGTTTACATCGTGACTAACCTTGTAGAGATTGCCAAACAAAGGAATAAGTAAATAGCTTTTCCTTTGAAGTAAATATGGGATGTTGAGACATGAACGCGTCTGCCGCTGCTACGAAAATGATAAACCGATATACGCATATATCTACATTATCTACAGTATAGACGTTCTGGGGATGTAGTGCACAAACGTGAGCACCAACAACAAATTGGCAAAAGTAACAATATTAATTAAACGAAAATTACAACAATGCAAGCGGCAGGGTTGCAATCTCACTAACTTTAACGTCTTTTCTTTCACTCCAATACAAACACAAATGCCAGCTTTAGATTATAATTATAAAAAAAGCCCTTATTACAGATTTGTGGATACATTTCTTTATTAGCAGCTATCACAGCGAAGCCGCACGACCGTGTATCGAATTTCGCGTATCGCACGAGGTTGTGGATTATTGATAACTGGTGACGAAAAGTCTCCTTGTGCGTGCAAAAGAAAACGAACGTATTTTATCTTCTAGGAAGAGAAAACGTGTCATATTGGATAGGCTAAATGAGAGAGTGCCTTGCATACGGCTGCGGAGCATCGCGCGAATCCGGACAGACGGAAAATTGAAAACTATAAATTTCTTTGCTTTCCCCACCGTTTATGCGCGCCGGATTCAGCTCTTCTACGTTACCTGCGGCAGATCCTGGGTCTTTACGAGATGGTTTATGAACCTACGTCATTTGAAACCCAAAATAGAATTCCGAACTTAATATCATTCAAGTGGTACTTATCCGCAAATCGCGATATCACGATCGGTATATCTGCATGATAACACTCGATATTAGTTTTGATATTTCGTAACGTGTGAATGCTGATTTTTTCTTTCTTGCTAAAGAGAAAATATCTTTTTATATAAAAAACCAGATATCGTAAATCACAGGATGTATGAAAATCACAACATATTCCCCTCCGATAATTATTAAGCTACTGGAATGAAAATGTTATGCAAATACGCTTTCGTATACGTAAAAGTCTCGTAGTAAAATATTTTATTCTATTTTTATATTTCGCTATCAACCTGAAATAGATTATAGATATTCTGTCTTCGTTATTCTAGTTTATTAACTGTAATTGACGTAATTCTGACGAAGACTGATTATAATGTTAATTTGATGTGTTCGAAACAAGCATATCGATGTTAATACTTCATCCATTATGAAAATTATACGGCTAAAAAATTATATAGGTCAAGCGATCGCGAATCAAGGGGATATAACTATTATTTTATAGATTATTGATTTTTGCCGTAGCTAAAGCTACCACACGGCACTTTCACCATAAATGTAATTTGCTTAATAAAAAGATTTTTAATTAATAACAAATAAATTTAATAGACACACATACAGCAATAATACATTTGCATACCATTAAGTATTGTCCTCATAATTAGAATCAAATTACTGTAGTTGATTTATAAGTCACAACAAAGTATCAAAAAATCTCCAGCTATAATATCTGGATAAAATATTTCATAAATTCGACTTTACAATTCTATATTGTTGTCATGTTTCTTTGAGTTTATCTCTCTTTCTCTCTCTCTTTCTTTCTAGATATTATTTAAATAATTTTAATTTTCAGTTTTTAAGTTAAAATATTAATATTTAAGATATTTAATGTTGTTGTTTAATATTAGTATTTAATAAAAACTCAGTCTAATATTTAATTTTAGTAGTTAAATTAATCAGACATTTCTGAATATCCAAGATTGACATTTGCGCGATATTGTTTGAAATTTGCTAAGTTGATTCTCAAGGGAAGAAAAGCCAGTTGTGGGAAACACTCGAACTCGTCGGCACGACCGACACTTGTCTCATAACGCGATTCCCTTCGCGCAAGTAGTAACAGATAGCACAGGACAAACGCGCCGCTGGTAATCAAAGTCCTGTGTCGTCATATCTGCCGGCAGGACCTGCGTCAACGAATTTAGAGAGACTCGAAAGCCTCGAGATGAGCAAGAAAGAATTTACGAAAGAAACGCTATTGGAAAAGATAGAGAGAAAGGATAAGAAAGTGTGAGAGAGAAAGAGGGAGGAAGAGAAAGAGAGAGAAAGAAAAAAAACAGACGGAAAGGAACGACCAACGCGACACAGGAGGAATAGAAGGTGGCTGGTGGAGGAGGGCTGAGAATTAGGGGTTGGTCGCAGGCAGCGTGCGCGCCAGAGGGTTTTGCCAGGAAGGGAGAAGGTGGAGTTCCCCTCTCGCGTATTTTCTCTCTCCCTCTCTCCTTCTCTCTCTCTCTCTCTCTCTCTCTCTCTCTCTCTCTCGCGTGCGCACTCTCTCTTTCTCTCGCTTTCTCACGCCCTCTCTCACTCACTTCCAACCCCTCTCGAGCGCGCGCGAGCATTCGGGATTCGAGGCGGTGTGAAAACTCGAGCAGACAGCCAGTCGCTCGCCGTACGCTCCACGACGTGGCTCGAGAGTGCTGCCTGGCCGATCGAGATAAACGACAATGACGATGACGGTGGTGTAATGTCAATCCTCGTCAATCGATTCTGGTCCACGTCGTAACTTGCCGTCGTTCTGAAACGTCGATAGACACTTGGCGATCTCGCGCGTTTCATTACTCGATCGTCGATCGTCGCTCGCCAGAATCCACAGGTATCTTCGCAGTTGTGGAGGTCGATAGTATATTCGCGAAACAAACGGTCGGCTCGGACGGACAGCTGTCGCCGCGAATCGATCGGGATCAATCGAGAGATATTGCGCTTCCGAAATACTATAGTTCATGAAGATCTCGTCGTGTGACGTGCGTGCTGTGCGTGCTCACGAGATCGTAAAGAGAACGAGACGATTTGTAAAGGCACAAAGGGTTTAAGGCCGGAAATTCGGTCGGAAAATCGACTGGATTCGAGATCGAATACACACACGGGAGAGAGTATCGAAACGGTGATTGTTCAGAGATAATCGCTCATTTCCGCCGATCAGTGATAAATTCTTATGGACCAGCGCGTGAGGCGTGCACGCGTTTCGTCGGTCCGGCTCCGTTTTAGCTGTTGCTGGACCAAAATTCTAGCCAGGAAATTCAACGTCGATCGACGGAGCAGCGACGCGGCGAAATTAGCCGGAAGTGCCGGCGGATCGGATTAACGTGATTGCCCGTGGTTGCAAATAGTAATTCCGTCGTGCCTGCTAATAGCCGTTGATTCAACTGGAGACTCAAACAGTGACAGTGAATCAATCGCAAGAAGCGAAGATTGCAGAGAATAAGCCACAGAGTGAAGAGAAGGACGGAGCCGCGCGGACAACTGATGAGAGAAGTTCGGAGAAGAGTGGAAGTTTGCGGGGAAGATTGAGAAACGATTGCAGCCGAGGAAGGTAGCATAAGTGTCATTTTCACGGAGAATTTAATAAGCCATTCAAACGCCCACCCCGTGGATCAGATACGACGTCGTTGAAGTTTCCGGTTCGCTGTCGCAAAATATTTCAGGCGATCCGTCGGCAGTGAATGGCGCGGCTTAAGACGGCTTCCCGTGTGTATCGCCGGCGCGGGTAATCCAAACGATAGTAGACTAAAGAGCTCGGAGGCTTTTCCCTCGTGGTCGCATCCCCCTCTTTTCCTCTTTCTCTCTGTTTTCCTGTTTCTCTCTCTCTCTCTTTTTCCCTCTCTCCGTCCTTCTCTCTCTCTCTCTCTCTCTCTCTCTCTCTCTCTCTCTCTCTC